TGTCAACATTGTTCATTGACAGTGGGGACAGTGGTGATTTGCACTTTCTGACCTCCCTCCAAGGTCTTCTTGAGCCTCCACATTGGTGGGGCTCATTCAGAAGCAGCAGACAGAAGAACCCATAGATGTCGTTCATCAAGTTCAGTTGCTGGGGTAGAAGGCAGATTGCAGGGTAGGGGGCTCCCTGGTGGTCTGTGGATTAAGTTCCAGCATCATCACCACTACAGCCTGCGTTCGATCCGCAGCCAGGGAGCTGACGCAGATGGTGCGGCAGACTTCTCCTGTCTCGCCCGCTGCTCCCCTAGCAGTGTATTTCAGTAGATTCGCCTGTTCTGCTCCCCACTCTGTCTCAGGTGAATCCTCTCACACACATACCCCCACACCTCTGGCTAGCACCCCAGTTATTCTACACACACAAAAATAATTAAAGAAAGCAGGTGGAAGAAGAGTAAAGAGTGGATCTCTCTGTTGCTTCTCCAGCATCATGCTCTCTGGGCATTTCTTTCTCTCTTTCTCTACCTGTGTAGTGCTGGCCCCCTAAGCCTCTAAGAGCATAGATGCCCCCCTTCTACCCATGGCATTTCCCCTGACCCATCCCAGCACCTCACATGGAATCGTGCACATATAAGGAATCCCCAGGACCAGCGAGCAGCAGGGACATGCAGCAGCTGCTCGCTTTCCACGAGGTCGGTCCTTCTTTGCTTTTGCCAGAGGCCTTGCCAGTTGTTCAGCAGCTACAGGGACATTTTGGAAGCTGTGGGGAGAGACAGCTGAGGGGAGAGAGTGTTTGTAGGTTGATGTCTAGTCATAACAATTCTCCAAGTGCCTCCCCCCGGTGACATTAGATAAACAGAGATGGGAATCACATTTCAGTGTGACAGCTTAAAAGGCATGTCAAGAAACAATTAAAAAGATCTAGAGCAACCTGGTCCTGGGAGACTTTTGTCAGAGTAAGACCGCTTCCTGTCAGGGCCTCTGAGGGGGGTGACAGGGTCTTAAAGCCCAAGTTCAAGGCTTGGAATTCTCCAAGGTTTATCCTCCCAGACCTGGGCCTGGAGACTCAGGGAGCCAGGAGAATTTGACCCTTCGCTGCTGTTGGTGTTTGGAAAATCACAAACAGAACATCTTCCTGGCAAGCCTCTGGCCGAGCACACTACCTTCCAATCCTTGTCAAAACCCTGACTGTGAGGAAGAATATTTATAGAGTATTGCCTGAAGGGCATGCTGTCCATCACTCCTTTAGATCAGCAGTTTTTCAGATTATCTTTTTTAGAGCCCTGGAAGTCCTGGGGGTGGCCCTGAGGCTCCCTAGAAACCAGTCCCCCACCTTTACCCTAATCCAGAGAGCACCAGGTCTGATCTGTCACATGTGGGACACTGGGGCTGCATATAAAAATGGATGCTGAGGCATAACAGAACAAAAGCCATCACATTAGCCTAAATTTTATTCTGTGATCAAGCCAGATGGTGAGAAATCTGCAAGCTGGGTCATGTTCCTTTGCTCTGCAGTCCTTAGTTTCTGGTAATAAATTGCATTTCAATAGAATCCCATCAGCCCACCTTTTGGGAGCCCATTTGAAAAACAGCTTATGGCAAATCCTGAAGGGCCTCTTGAAGGGCTTCCCTTGGTGAATGCAGGGGGGCCCTTCCTCTGCGTTTTCAGGAATGTTGGTACCAGGTGGACCATGTCAGGCACACCCCCACGGACAGGGAAGTTGGCCTTGACCTTGCGAACAACAGTGCTGACTCTGGAGTCCACCTCTAGCTGCTCTCATAGATTCAAATCCCTTCCCCAAATGCCTCTGGCATTTCACATTTTGGATTGCCTTTGTGTGAACTGATGCGGCCTTTCTAAAGGATGGATAATATAAATATATAAATAAATAGAAGTAAGTGGTTCTTAAGGAAAAAGAAAGCAACTCGCTTCATTTGGTTTGTTCACCACCCCACAAATATGTCCTAATCCTATTCTCCTATAAAATACACTGGTTTTCCCATTCCTTGCTCCCAAACTCTACCGGCTATCGGGCGCGACCTTGGATGGGTGGACAGCCAAGGCATTCCCCATCATGATCCTCCAGCCCAGCCCTGCCTGCCCCTGCCTTCTATACCCTCTTATGCTCAAATACCAGTTTCCAAGTCCATATAGGCCTTCCCCATCCCAGTCTTTGGCACGCTTGGTTCCTAAGCTTAGACTCCATGGAAAATTCAAGACTGGGAGTATGTTTCCACTCCTCTGGCATGCTACCGCAGCTCCCAGAGCAGCAGGCTACCCCTTCTCCCTGTGCACCTCTGAAGTGTTAATGTCAGGACATGGCCCCATATCAACCTCCACTATTATTGGAAACAAGCCGGCTATGCCTCTTTTCCCCCCACCCCCAAGCCTCCAGTATATCCTTCTGCCCAGGGCACTGGTCACACACTCCAGACATGATGCTCAATCTGCCAGCCTGGATTCCCACCCCCACATTTCCTGTGACACCTCCAGTCCAGCTACAGACTCAGGGGCTGTCCCTCCCCATCATCTTCATTCCACTGCCACCTACAGCAACATGCAGAGCCACCTTTGCGAAGTGACAAGCCTGGGAGACACGGATGCTTCAGGAAGAAGCTTCACTGGGCCGGCACCCAGAGAAAGAAGGAACTTGCCCACAGTCAGGCCTGGGGAGGCTGCCACTTTTCTTCCTAAACTCCCCCTGCTCCCAAGGGGCCATATTTAATTCATGGCACTGCAGCTAGCACCATTGCCAGATATATTTCCTTGATGATTAAACATTAAACACACAAGTATTTCAAAGCATTTGAAATAACTCAGAACTAATGAAGGACTAATTGCTTCACTCTGTATATTCAAATAGTGATGTTATTTTTTAAAAAATGCATTCTTATGTCAACTGTTGCATCAATTAATTGCAAATTTTCCAACAGTTAGCTGTAGTGTGATTAAAGCATATGAAAATAATCTTTTAATTAGCTTTCATTTTGAAACAAATAGACAATTAAACCAAAGAAGTAAGTGTGAAAATTCTGTTGGTCTGCTTTTGGGGGGGCAGTGCTTGTACAAATAATGACTGTATCATTGGAAATTATTTCCTTGGCTGGTCTAATGGTTGTTACAGTAACTTAATCTTTTCCTTTTACTGCCCTCCCTTCCATTTCCTTCAATCCTGTACCCCTACTGCTTTCCCCAGAAGCCTAAAATATACCACTAGATGAATAACAGCCTTTTTCAAGAATGCCTTTTTCAGCAGAGCTATTCAAAGTACCAGCCAATTCTTAGTAAAAATATCATTGTACACATCACTGGTGTTTAAAAGGGAGAGAAAAAAAAAAAAAACCTGTTCTGGCCACTGAGTCATGAGCACCTTCCTGCGAAGCATGGTTAGATTCAGGGGTAGAAAAGGGGCCGAGGGCACAAGATCTAAGGAGACACACACGCCCAGTGCTGATGTGCACGTGGAGGGGCACAGAACCTTTGGCCTAGGTGTGCCTCTAAGTATCCTGACCTCTTATTGCTTGCCGCCCTCTAGCCCCAGCTCACTATGGGGAGTCACAGAGTATCTGCCATGGGCTTGGTGCTATGGGAGAGCCAGTTAACAATGAGAAAGGGACTGCAGAACCTGTTTGCTCCAAACATTCCTGTGCAATGGGTAAGGGGCATGCTCGACCTGCTAGGGAGAAGTCAAAGAGAGGGTAGCAAGGTTCTGGTCCCCCTTCTTTCTGTCAAAACACATTTGGTGGGCATCTCCCCTGGATGCAGCATCCCCTGCCACCAACAGGCAATGTTACCATGGAGGGCACATGCCTTCCATGCTGGGCAGAACAAGAGAGCTTCAGCTGGGGAAGTAGAAATGAAAGGTCACTTTCTGAGCTGAGTGACCTTGGGCTCATGGCTTAATCTCTTTGAGCTTGTGCATCATTTCATTAAGGGGAGAGAATATTTATGTCCCTGTAAGCACCAGGGAAACCACGTGAGGTGTTTCATGGTGATTAACGTAGAGCAAATTCTAGCAACGACAGCAGCTAGCATTTTATAGGGAATGTACTCTGTGCCAAGTTCCATGCCAGATACTTCATCTGCAATATACCATTTCAGCTGCACAGAGACCCATGGGCAAGGCATTGCAAACTTTACTTTGTAGGTAAGGAAACAGACTCAGAGAAATGATTGTTCCAGTTCAGACTGCTGGTAAATGGCAGAGCTGGGATTGAAACCAGGTCCATCAAATTCTGAGGTCCACACTCCTTACTATGATGCTAAAAGGAAGGGAGAACATGGGGCTCAAATTTGGGAGCATACCCATGATAAGCGTGATTCTTCAGGAAAAACCTATAGATTTCAAACCCATCATCGAATCCCTGAGAAACCATCACAAACTCAATTAACGGTGCCCAGTAGCAGCATCAGCAACAAGATGAGTGGGACTCTAATCTCCTCATGAAGGAAATGATGTATAAGTTGTGGAAAAAAATCAATTCCCATGTGATGGCACCATTGCGTCTGGATATCCGGAGACCTTGTAGTAGAACCACAGCATGTAATAGGATCACAGAACTCAGGGAGGAAGGGATCCCCCTTTCTGTGTCAGACAACCTCCCTGGCACCTGACATAAAGCAGTACAGCCCTATTCACCCCTCTCTTTCATCAGAGGACACCTTCATGATATTGCCCTGAAATCTGCCCTTCGCTTTCATGGGCTACGCAGACAGAGGCCCCGGCATGGACATTTGTGCTGCCTCTGCTCCAAGGAGACAAGGTTCCCAGTCTTCCAGCCATCCCATAGGGCATGATTTCTGTATGTGTGTCTCAACAACCCTTCCTGGAACCTCTGGGATTATGACAGTCGTGGGGTTCAATCCTAGCTCCCCACCACAGGTAACAGGCAAATCCAATTAACCCCTCTGAACTTAAGAGTCCTCCTCTACAACGTGAAAGCATTAAGAGCTACCTTGGGTGGGGTCACTGTATTAAGTGAGATGGAGCCTAGAAGCGCATTACCTGCTCTACGTCAGCACGCGGTGCATGCTAACTCCTGGGTTCACTTCAGAGGGACACAGGGGAGCCCTTTGTGGGGCCAGAGGCAAAAGTAAAGAGGAGATGAAGGAGGATCCACCAGGCCAGCCTGAAAGGGATAGAGCAGAGGTGAGGTCTGGTGCACCTTCCCAAAGGGAAATCAGTAAATAAACAGCTGTTGTGTGGAACAGAGCCCCCCGAGGAGACTCCTAGGAGCTGGAGTTTCTCCAACTCCATTCAAATATCATTTTGGTTCTGCTAAATTATCGCCAGAATGTGTTCTCACAAATCACTCTGTGACTTGGCAGAATTGAGTGAAATGCGATCCCAAATCATAAATTAAAGGAGGGGGGCACTTGGAATGGCACATTCATTTACACCATTTCATTTCACTCTTTCAACTGCTAAGACATTCAAAGCTCCCAGCAGGGAGTATTGGCCACAGCAGAAGGAAGACACTGAGTTATGACAAGTCCTTGTCAGTCTTCCCTGCAAAAGCAAAAGTGAGTATGTGCTGCAGGAGATGGGGCTGGGGTGCTCAGCTTTAGAGCTCTCAGGGAGGTCAAAACATAGAAGGTAAATTATAGGGACTCTAGGAGCCTCCTTCTTTTCTGCATGAAGTATTGGTGTTTATGGATTAAAAAGTGAAGGAAATTTGGGACTATGTGCTTAATAGCTCCCTGTGCCTGCTCCCCAGTTCCAACTCTAGCTGCTAGGATAAAATCTCTAATGTCCCAAACCTGGAACCAGCAAAAGCTACATCTCCTGGTTATGTACCGGGAATGTCTTAAGAACCAGCATAGGGACATGGAAATGGTTCTTTAGTGGTTGCGAGGAGATATAGAGAGCACCGTGGACCCAGTCACCTGAATATTAGTCATTAAAGCCATCAGGTCAGTTAGAACCTTGACACTTCTCTATCCACCACCACCCCAACACTCAAGCTCTGCTTGAGATATCCTCCCAGTCTCATCTACTGACAAATACATTCTGTCTCTCCACTGTGAAGTTCAATTGATTTTCATGGCTTCCTGGAGAATTGAGTAGAGAGGTTGGGTTGTTTCACACTGGTTTGCTGGAAGGATAACTGACATGGATTACTAATGTCTGCTGTGGGCAAGGGAGAAGTAGAATGGAAAAAAAGTGACATGTGTTGCCAAACTCAACTTAGCCTCCACCCCTGTAGAAATAGAGCCCTGAATACATTCTCCTGTCACCCACCATTGAGTAAGAACAATTGTTTCTGGGGTGCTGTCTTGTCCACTCTTCACATAGAAGTATTCAGAGAGCAATGCTACCTCTCTTTGACTTAAAATTCCCATGGCTCCTTGAACATGGCATGTTCCATATTGGCCACACAAACATCTTCCATCTTCCCATTGTTACCACTCCATCCACTCCTCTGCACCTCAGTCCTGCTCGTCAATCAAAGCCATAAGTGATTTTAAATGCAATATTTATATTGGATTTTATTTTTTTAAAGATTTATTTATTTATTCACACAAGTACTCGGGTAAGGCCAGAGCTGTGGGGTGAGGCGGTGAGAGGATTCACCAGAGACAGAGTGGGGAACAGAACAAACAGATTGGCTGAAATACACTGCTGAGGGGAACAGTGGGTGAGATAGGAGAGTTCTGCCACGCCATGTGGGTAGCTCCCTGGCCAGGGATCAAACTCATGCTGCACTGGCTGCGGACAGATTCACAGGTTGTGTCTTAACCCCTTGTGCCACCAGGGAGGCCCCTATATTGGATTTTATTTTAAATACAATAGAAACCCTGTAAAGAATGGGTGACACCTTCAAGAAAAAGGAAAGGGAACACGCTGGGTGTTTGTAGTTTGAATACCTGTTAAAAATATACATAGAAAGAGCAGCCCTGGATACAAAGTGTTGGAAGTCATGAGCAGATGAAGGGTATCGGGTCTAAGAAGAGAGAGGATGTCAAGTCTTAAGGTGTGGGGTTCTTTGTTCAATGCCACAGAGATACTTAGGAAAATAGGAGGCTGAGAGAGACGTGTTGGATCAGCTGCATGGAGCTACTTGGTGACCTCAGGAAACATGCCTCTGGGCAGATCAGAAAGGGACCAACCTCCCTAAAGGAGGCTGGAGGGAGACTGGGAGATGAGAAATGAAGACCACAATTAAACATTGAGGCAATTTAAATGAAGACAAGAATAGGAGAATAAGGGGTAACTGAAGGGGAATATGGTATCAAGCGGTCAAGGTTGAGTTTTTCCTTTCTTTAAGATGGGATAATGCTGAGGAGCATGATCTCTAGGCAAAGAAAAATATAATGATGCAATTCTAAAAGGGGATAATTTGATAGAAATTGTACCTTCCATAAGTGGAAAAGGCTTCTTCTGTTTGCTCATTTATACATAAACTCATTCGCTTAATAAATGCTTTTCAAATGTCTATGATGCACTAGACAGACAAGGTCTGGCAACAGATGGATTATAAGAATTCTTTTAGTAAGATGTTATCTCCATAAAGAGTATGCAAGCTCTTTTAGGTGAGAGGCAATGTATTGTTTTATAAACAAAAACATCTTTTATGAACTTAGAAGACTCCAGAATAAGACAGCTTCATGAAATTAGATGTGTTGGGAAAGAAGCACCTGTGGTCAGCTGCTCATGTGAACAACACTGGAAAAGACACTGTGTGGGAGGCTTCTGCCCTTTGTAGAGCTTCTGTGTCATGAACTGGACACTGTGGTTAACAACCTCACAGATGTTTTCTCTTTAGGTCTGTTCTGGAATGTTTGATTTATTCTAATCTGAGTCTGTAGAGAAAGGACTACAAACAGTTTGTGAACCAGAAATTCAGAACCACAGTTGTTTTTTTTTTTTTTTTTTCCTTTAATCTCATCAAAAGCGACACCAGGATACCTAAGCCAATAACAACTTTGCCATTAACTGTCACTGTGCCCTCAGGTGACTTTCATTTTCCCTCTATGCTTTCATCTGTATTTGGGGGATGCTGGGTAAGAAATCTGCAAAGCAACTCCAGCACTAAAATTCTCTACATATGTGACACCCGCTGAACACACATGGAAAGAACATGCTCACAACCGCAGGTAATGGAGCTGTCCAACACTGACTATGCATCCATGGCTCCGTATTTTAATTCAGAAAATTCTTTCAAACCAAATGCAATATAATTTACAGTCAATTTTGGAACAAAATTTGCTATAATGAAAGATGTTCCAAGCAACAGCAATGCTTTTTGTAAGAGTTACATTCTCTTAATGGGCAGCAGGCAAAGAGAAACATCAAAAATATGCTTCAAATCTGCAAAGCCGAAGAACTCCGCACCACTTAAACCTCCGCTTTGTTCCCAATAAAATTAGCTACATGTTAACCTGCACAGTCAGACTCCTCGGATGATTTTCCGGTGTGGTACCCATTTATATCTCAGGCTTTCCTAGCACCGCACACAGCTGACTGCGCCTCTGCCACTTCCTGCAAAGGAACATCTGCTCTAAATACTTCAAAGCTGCTTCGAGGAATATACTTGTAGTCTCTGCCCAGACATGTGGTTTCCAGTGCCCCTACCCTCCACGCTCACTGCCAGTGCTTTGTGTTCGACTAGATCACCAGCCTCCATTTTCTAGACCCTGGCAACGATGAGGAAACTAGTTTACCTGCTCCAGTTGCCTGCCCACTATTTTATGTTTCATTTGTTTCATTTCATTATGTTTCATTTCAGCTTCCTGAATGTTCTTTTTTTTAATATTTACTTATTTATGCATACAAGAACTGGGGTACAGGCCAGAGGTGTGGGGGGGTGGGAGATTCACCAGAAACAGAGTGGGGAGCAGAACAGGCAGATCTCCTGAAATACACTGCTGAGGGGAGCAGCGGGTGAGACAGGAGAGGTCTGCTGTGCCATGTGGGTTGTTCCTGGCCACCGGGGAAGCAAACTCATGCTGCAGTGGCTAGCAATAGCTTGATAGCACTGTCTTTAAGCCCTACACCACCAGGGAGGCCCCCGAATGTTCTAACTGGGAAGACTGTCCCACTCACACCCGTACTCCAAAACTTCCCTGCTGCTCAGGATAAATTCAGAGACCCCAGATCCAATATGCCAGGTCCTCTGGGAATGGACTCCAGGCCACCTTTCCAGTCTCACTTGCCCAGACTCTCCCTCCTAGACATGCGGACTCCCATCTTCCAACAACACAGCATCTTCCTCCACACAGGTTTGTTGTCATTCATACCATTCCCATCCTCTGGAATGTTTTCTTTTTATTAGTGCACACCTGCTCATCCATACAAAGATGTTTGAGCACATGCCATATGGCAGAATATCCTGGCCACCCTCCACCAGAAGGAAACATGAATCAAGATTTAATACTCTGGAAGCAGAACCATTCAGAAGGATGCTTAGGAAGGGCATGGGATTTAAATGAGCACAAACGTCACCTGGGGATCTTGCAAAGAGACGGGTCTTGGGTTACTGAATCTTCTCCAATGAGATCCAGGGCACAGCTGATGCCACCAGTCCAAGGGCTTGGAGATCTGGAAGCTGTACAAGTTACTTCCTTGTCTGAACTGCAATCCTTTGAGAATGATTTGAGAACCAGTGGGTGTGGTCTGCCACTGATGTCTTCTCAAGAAACCCTGAGATGAGTGGGAGACACAAGCAAATGCAATGAATCCATAAGCTTAATTGACACAAGCAATTAATCTATAGCATGAGGTGTGCTCTGTTAGGGGCAGAGACCCTGGAAATGCCCCACAGACTCTGACGATTATCTCTGATTTGAACCTTAAAGAGAGACTGAGTAGGCAGGTCAAAGACATGGGAAGTCTGGGAGGAGAGAGCAGTCTCACCAGGGAAAAGAGATGGGGGGTGTCTGGGGAGGACAATAAACTTGCTACATGTGCAGGACGGGGGCTTGGAGGGGAGGAGGGTAGGAGTGGGACTGGAGGAGTGGTGACTAAGTCATGAAGGGTCTTGTCTGTCCAGTAGAATTCCCCTGAAGATCAGCTAGAGTTATGAGGGTCTTTAGGAAGTTACCTGGGAAGATTTCCTTCTTAGTTTGACACCCTCAGCTGCCCCTGACACCCAGCTGACACCCTCACATGGCTGAGCAAGACTAGAGAAAAGGAAGCTGGTGAGGTTGGGGCAAGTTGCTACAGAAAAGTGCGTATCATATGCCCTGGGGATGTTTGTTGAAAGAAAAAGTGAATGAATCATTTAGTCGCCCCCTTTTTTTAATTTACTGACTCCATTGTGAGTATTAGAAATAATCAGACCAGGGCCTCCCCTGGTGACGCAGCGGTTGAACACTGGGCTGTGAAGATGCCTGCGACCTCGGCAGCGCCGGCTCAATCCCCGGCCCACTGGCAAGGCTCCCACATGGCACGCAGACCTCTCCTGCCGCACCCACTGCTCCCCTCAGCAGTGTACTTTGTCGTCTGCTTGTTCTGCTCCCTGCTCTGGCTCTGGTGAATTCTCTCACCCCCCACCCCCTGCACTTCTGACTGTACCCAGTGCATGTATAAATAAAAATAAATCTTTTTTAAAAAAAAGAAAAGAAATAATCAGTTCATATGGAACAACCATCTCACTGTTCCAGGTCTCAACAAGCAAACCAAAACTATCAGGATTTAATTATAGCAACATTTTTACTAATGTGTGTGTGTGTGGTGGGGGGCTTACTTTTAATTGGTTAGTATCCCTGGAGAGAAATTGGCAACAATGGAGAAAAGAAGCTACAAATCTGGCAACACTCTTCATCCTGCTGCTCATATATTCAGGTGTACTGTTTTGTTCAAGCCTCTGCAGCCTGGTGAGGCAGGAGAGGTCATATTAACAATCATTGGTGATAAAACCCCGAATAGCCAAAGCTCCCCTGAAAAAAAAGAAGGGAATGGAGGCATCACACGCCCAGACTTCAAACTATACTACAAATCCATAATCATCAAAACTGCATGGTATTGGAACAAGAACAGACACACAGACCAATGGAACTGAATAGAAAATCCAGAAATAAACCCACAGATTTATGGTCAACTAATCTTTGACAAAGGAGCAAAGAATATGCATTGGTACAAAGAAAGTTTGTTCAATAAATGGTGCTGGGAAAACTGGGTCGCTACATGCAAAAGAATGAAGCTTGACCATTACCTCACACCATACACAAAAACCAACTCAAAATGGATTAAAGAACTAGATATAAGACCTGAAACCATAAAATACATAGAAGGAAATATAGGCGAAACACTACGTGATATGCACCTCAAAGACATATTTACAGACACATCACTCAAAGCAGTGATAGTGAAGGCAAAGATAAACAGCTGGGACTACATCAAATTAAAGAGCTTCTGCACAGCAATAGAGACAATAACCAAAACAAAGAGAAACCCCACCGACTGGGAGAAAATTTTTGCACACAACACTAATGATAAAGGACTGATCACAAAAATCTACAAAGAGCTGATGAGACTCAACAAAAACAAAGAAAATAAACCAGTAAAAAAAAAAAAATGGGAGCTAAAAAGTAACTTCTCTGAAGAGGAAATGCAAATGGCCAACAGGCATATGAAAAAATGTTCAACATCACTTGTAATCAGGGAAATGCAAATCAAAACTACCATGAGATACCATCTTACACCAGTGAGAATGGCACATATTAAAAAAAACTAGCAACAACAAATGTTGGCGAGGGTGTGGAGAAAAAGGAACTCTTCTGCACTGTTGGTGGGAGTGCAAACTGGTCCAACCACTGTGGAGAGCTGTGTGGAGATTTCTGGACCTACTAAACATAGAGCTTCCATATGATCCAGCAATTCCACTCCTAGGTATTTACCCAAAGGACACAGAAACATCAATTCCAAAGAGCACCTGTACCCCTATGTTTATAGCAGCACTGTTTTCAATAGCTAAGCTTTGGAAACAACCCAAATGCCCAAAAATAGATGACTGGATCAAGAAGATGTGGTCCATATACACCATGGAATATTACTCAGCATTCAAAAAAGATAAACACATGCAATTTGCAGCTACATGGATGGTGCTGGAAGGGATCATCCTCAGCGAAATAAGCCAAAAAGAAAAAGAAAAATACCAAATGGTCTCACTCATAGTAGGAATCTAGAAAACTTAAATAAGGGACCAGGAAATTGAATAACTATAAGAAAGTGAAAATCAAAATCAACAAACAACTATGAATCAGAGACACTCTATGGGAGGTGGGGGGGCGGGGAGGGGAGGGATTGGGGTCAAAATAAGGGGGTTGCAATTGTATGGGGAATATAAAAATAAAATTTATTATTAAAAAAATAAATAAATAGGGCCTCCCCGGTGGCGCAGCGGTTGAGCGCTGGGTTGCGAAGCTGCCCGCGGCCTCTGCGGCGCCGGTTCGATCCCCGGCTGCTCCCCGGCCACCGGAGGAGGCTTCCACATGGTGCGCAGACCTCTCCTGCCACCCGCTGCTCCCCTCAGCAGTGTACTTCAGCCCTTCTGCCTGCTCTGCTCCCCGCTCTGGCTCTGGTGAATTCTCTCACCCTCCCGCGCTTCTGACTGTACCCAGTGCATGTATAAACAAAACAAACAAATATAATAAATAAATAAATAAAAACATGCCTCTATAAAAAAATAAATAAATAAATAAATAAATAAAAGGAAAAAAAAAACAAAAACAATCATTGGTTTCAAGCAACATCCCCAGAAATCGGAAAGCTTGTTATTTTCAAAAATATCCATGGACTTTAGATTGATCTAAGAGAAAGACTATGTTTGGGTGCAGCAAATGAGTACAATGAACAGGTTAGTACTCACCTGAAAGGAGCTTCTTTTTTCTGAGATTATATACTTGGTATCTAAATGTCCTTCCTTGAAATGATGATGTTGGTTGATGGTCGAGGTAAAAGGTATTTTTTTTGTTATTGCTTTGCTTTTTTTCACTCCACTTGTGCTCAAGTGACCACAATGAATTGGTTCCAGATGCTCTTTCCAGGTTGAGCAGAACAGCTTTCTGAGGAGCATCAAATCCTATTATTTACTACAACACTGAGCCATGACATTATGCCTGACGTGGAAGGCCCAAGGCAGGCCTGCAGTACAGAGCACCAGTGTTTTCATGTGGCTATACATGAAACTGTGTCCTACTTCTTTTGGTGTGAGCCCAGCCAGCCTCCCCAATTTTACACCATAGCTCAACTCCCTAGATTAAAGGACAGTTAGAAACTTGGCCCAAACCGGGACATGAGGATCGGGGAACGGGGGCCACTGAATGAGTTTGTGACCTACAACAGGGATTACTTCGCCCAAGGCAGCAGGACCATGCACGGTTCCAGAAGACTTCTGTGCAGGCTGTGCAGTGCACAACTCCAGGGGGTGCCATGCTAGTCAACGTGGCAGCCCTGTACTTACAGGTCTTAAAATTGAGGCAGGGGGCCTCCCCAAGGGGCGCAGCTGTTGAGCGCTGGGTTGCGAAGCTGCCCGCAGCCTCTGAAATGTAGGTTCAATCCCCGACTACTGGGCGAGGGTCCCACAGAACTTTCCTGCCGCCTGCTGTTCCTCTCAGCAGTGTACTTCTTGTCAGTCTGCCTGTTCTGCTCTCCCCTCTGGCTCTGGTGAATTCTCTCACCCTCCTGCGCTTCTGACTGTACCCAGTGTTTGTACAAATAAATAAATAAATCTTTAAAAAAATAAAATAGAATAAATAAAATTGAGACAGGATCGCAAACAAATAGTCAGTGATAAAACACATCAGACTGATGAAAGGAGTTCAAAAAACCAAAATCGGCGTTGCAACTGCTGTAACTGAGCCCACTGATGAGGGAAGAGCTGCTACATGCACACACCTGGCTTGAAGTAGACCCAGCACAAGAAGGTTGGGGAAACCAAGGGAGTAGCTCATTACCCAGGAAACAAGGGAGCTGATAGAAAGCAAGAAGGTCGATGCTTGAGTAAGACTCTCTAAAGACAGGAAGCCCTTGTGACACAAGGCCAGGAGCACTTGTGAATGGTGACGTGGGTATAGGACCAGGGGAGGAGCCAGAAATGAGCTGAGATTCAGGAACTGAGCTCCAGGGCATGCTCCATGAGAGGGGCGAGAGTGGGAACACCAGACAGTGAGCAGATCCACAAAACTCCTGAATTTCGTTTTCCTGCTTCTGAAAGACAGCCGCCCTTGTCGTCCTGCTTGCAATTACAAGTCCAAGGTTGCACAACAGCCCTCTGCCAGCCCATCTCTCACAGGTCACCAGATGACATCAGTGCTAGGCTAGTCTTCCATCAGGGTCCTACTGATGTTAGTTAAAACTGGCATGTGTAGTGCCCAGAAGCCAAGGTGACCAGAGGAAGAAGGGAAAGAAAATGAGGAGAGTGATCATGAGGTAATTGTGGCAAAGAACCTTTCACGTGTGAACTCTGGCCTGCACTCTCCCAACACACCTTCCCCACCGCTTGGAGGGGTGAGAATTCTGTTTCACATTTTCAGTATCAAAGGACTAAAACACAGATAATTTAAGCACCACACAGCTAGGATGGGATTTTCAACAGCTCTGCCAAACTAAATCCCAAGGTGATGCCCTCGCTACTCAAGCTCCTTGGACTGGCAGCAACAGCTCTGCCCGGAAACTTGTTAGACAATTCATACTCCAGGGCCTCCCTGATGGCGCAAGGGGTTAAGCGCAGCACTGTGAAGCTATCTGCATCCTCTGCAACATGAATTCAATCCCCAGCCAGCCAGGGAAGTGACCCACATGACACAGCAGACCTCTCATGTCTCACCCACTGCTGCCCTCAGCAGTGGAGTCTGCCTGTTCTGTTCCCCACTCTGTCTCTGGTGAATCTTCTCACCCCCACACCTCTGGCCTGTACCCCAGCTCTTGTATGCATAAATAAATAAATCTTTTAAGAAAATTCAGATTCTCTGGTTCCACCCAAGACCTATTGACTCAGAATCTGCCTGTTGGCAGGATCACCAGGTGACTTACAAGTTCATTTAAGCTTGAATATTATCATTCTAGAAGAGCTCTTGATTCAATTTTCTACCATTCCTGTTACCTGGCAAATAGTCTAAAATACGACCACTGGATCAGAACCTCTCTCACCAGTTCTGGGTCTGGCTACCTGCCTCCATCAAATGCAAACAAAAGGACCTTTAATGATGCAAAAAAAAAGAAAAGAAAAGAAAAGAAAAGAAAAGAAATATAGGGCCTCCCCGGTGGTGCAGAGGGTTGAGTGCAGCAACTGCAAAGCTGTCCGCAGCCTCTCCAGCGCTGGTTCAATTCCTGGCCAGCCAGGGAGATTCCCACGTGGCGCAGCAGACCTCTCCTGCCTCACCCGCTGCTCCCCTCAACAGTATATTTCCTGTCAAACTACCTGTTCTGCTCCCCGCGCTGTCTCTGGTGAATCCTCTCACCCTCCTGCGCCTCTGGCCTGTACCCCAGTTCTTGTATAAGAAGAAATAAATCTTTAAAAAAAAAAAGATATATAACTTCTAAACAATAGGATAAAGGGAGAGGAACAACTGGCAGTTTGGGGGAGGAACTAGAAAGGCAGAGGGAGATGGTGTGAAATGGAGTTTCAGTTACAGGACCCCGCAGGGGGCAGCAGAACCTGCTGCTGCTGAGATCAGGGACTCCCCACCACTGTCGGGTAATGGGGCTCAGCCACCTTTCACAGCAGCTCTGATGAAAAAGAGCAAGCCCAGGTGCATGGCTCCATTTTAAAGGCTCACAAAAATGGCTGCTCAGCTCTGGCCCCTTCCCAGCAGCCCCTTGCTCAGGACATCAAGGGTTAGAGGTTCAGCCCTTTATCAGGTGGGCCCCGGGGGTGGAAAGCTGCCCAGGGCTGCTTCAACATTCCTAGCTGAGATTTATCCTAAAGCAAGAAAAATGTCAGGGTGTGGAAGTTGTTCCTTCCGCCTCCATTTCTTTGCAAAGGAAAGTGAAAACAGCGGTACTGTGTGTGATTTCCCTCATGATGATGACACAGCCGGGATGAGGCTGGCTTTAGGTCTAACAACTGCTCAACTCAAGGCTGGCCAGTGTCCCAGGACTTGGTCTAGCTTTATGTGACTTTTCATCACCTTAGCTGCTGAGCAGGAAGGAATTCAGTAGCTGGCTGATGCGGATGCTAGGAAAAGCAGGAACAGGCTGAGACCATCTGACTATACCTCTCCTCTCCTCAAGCTATGAGAACAAACCCTCTTCCATGGCCCTTACTCACGGGAAATTAGAGAAAAGGAATCTCAGGGGAATAGCCCCATAGGGATTCAAATGACCTTTCCTCTCCCATAGTCTCAGATGCAACTTATGACCCCTCCCTCCTGGTCACAATTGATGAGACCAAGGATGGAGCAAAGAGATGACATGGCTCTCCCCAGCTCATAAATTCATTCCCATTCTCTCTCTCTCTCTCTCTCTCTCTCTCTCTCTCTCTCCCTATTTCCCTTCCTTCTTCTTCCCTCTTTTTTTTTTTCCTGCCTACTTCTTCCTCACCTTTTTCCCATCCCCACCTCAAATCTGAAATGGTGAAACAGAGCGAAGGTGTCAGTTACAGTGAAGGGTTACAGCAGTGCAGTGCCCCCTCCCCTGCTCCAGCCCTGCATGTCCCCAGCTGCTGTGGGCCAAAAGCTGTTTTCTGCAATCTGGCTATAGGCACATGCTTAGAGAAAAAGGTGCAAGTAAACTGAGGAGTTAACACCCCACCAGAAGCCTGGAAAACTGACAAGTGACAAAGTGACATTTGGTAGAGAAATACCTCAGCTCTCTTGCCTTTAATATAGACCGTGCTTGAGGTGGATGTTTGACACTGATGCCCCGAGGTGCCCACAGTGGTGACTTGTGGGTAATGCATCCTTTATCTGTGCTGGTCGGTTTCTCCCTCTCATCCTCACCCCCATTTCTGGTATTTCCTGGAATCACCTAAATACCACTCATATTTGGACTTCCATCTCTGAAGCCATCTCCAGGAGCTCCATAAGATACCTACCGTAAAGGCTGTGGAGAGGCTTGGGGTAAACGAGGGCGAAGAAGCAGGAGCGGTGGAGTCACAGGAGAGAGAAGGAAGCCAGAGGGCACAGAGGAGTAGAAGAAGTCAGGGAGGCCACAGGAGTCCCCTCCCAGGGCAGGCTCCCCAGGCCCAGCCATCCTCACAGAAATCCCCTTCCTGGGGCAACCAGAGGGGAGACTTGGCCTGGGCCCCTGGAGAGCCTGATAGGCAAATCAAACTGAATACAAAAGAGAGGTGGCCAGATAACTAGAAAACAGTTCCAGCCAGCACCTCTAGACACTTCCTGTATGCCTGATCTCCTCCCCTCAGCATCTGACAGAGGTGACTAATGTCACCCTCACAGCCCTGAAAGGTAAGCAATAGTGTGACCATGCACTTACTAATGAGGAAACTGAGTCCATAGAGGCTAAGGCCCATGTGTTGCCTCAGCTACTGTGTCAGATGCAGGTGTGACCCAACCCAGTTATTCCCCAATACCACACAGGACTGGTCAAGATGGCATTGCCCTCCCTTTATAGGTTGGGATTTTACATTTTCAGGACATCTTTCTCTTTTGGGAGTTGGGTCGGGGGGAGAGGTGTTGTCATGGTCTCCATAAACTTCAGGCTCTGAACCTCTTCATTTCTTTTTTTAATTTAATTTTATTTTTATTTATACAAGCATTGGGTACAGTCAGAAACGTGGGAGGGTGAGAGAATTCACCAGAGCCAGAGCAGAGAGCAGAATAGGCAGACTGACGAAATATACTGCTGAAGGGAGCAGCGGGCGGCAGGAGAGGTCTGCGTGTTATAGGACAGGGAGGGGGGCAGCCCAAACCCCACAAACCTGCCTATTCTACATGGGTTCTGCCATCCGCCGCATCAACACAAAACATAGGAGACTTTAATGGGAAGGAACTTTAATAAAACTAGGAAACAATTCAGGTAAGGCAAAGAGTCTAGTTTCTAAATGAAGCATCCAGAGTTACCCGTCCCCTCGTGGGTAAAAGTCCATCCAAATGGG